GTCAGAAGCGGCGGTTGTTATCACTTCACTGTCAGAAGCGGGAAACACCACCGGCACCCGGCACCAGCACCAGCAACCTGTCTCCACCACGTGCACAGCCAGCTCACAGCACCAGCACCAGCACCGGCGCCCGGCACCCAGCACCAGCACCAGCAACCTGTCTCCACCACGAGCACCGGCAACCGGCACCAGCACCAGCACCAGCAACCTGAGCAACCTGTCCCCACCACGTGCACAGCCAGCCCACCAGCACCGGCACCCGGACCAGCACCAGCAACCTGTCTCCACCACATGCACAGCCAGCTCACAGCACCAGCACCAACACCGGCACCCAGCACCAGCAACCTGTCTCGAAAGCGCGCACGGGCAACTCATTGTTATTTGACGTAAGAACCCCATAGCTTCGCTATCTGGGGAAAAAGAACCAAAACGAAGCAAAACGGTCTGGGCACATTGAAACTTGGCGTCCACCTTGATCCCCACCTCGGACACCGACGAGGTTTTCCGTCTCCATCCGGATGTCGGGAGAAAAAGAAGCCACCGATGGGGTGATTTTTTGAGGTTCGACCGATACCAACGATACCAACCGGGGAGGGCCACAGGGTGACGGGTGAAGCCACATGCTACCGACTTCCTTTCGCTGGAAACATCAATCAAACAGCTTGGTCTTGGTCTCATCGGTTTTAAGAGCCGACCAAGCTGCTGGCGAGGTGGGTCCCACTCCCCTGGTTTTCAAGGGCACGCTCCGACGAACATATCACATCGGAAGTGGAGTTCATCCCCTGTTCGTAAAGGATTCCTTGTAGTCGAAGGGATCATGCCATCCACTTCCATCTTCGTGAGTCAGAAGGCCTTCGAGTGTAACCCGGACATGTCGTCGAAGGCCAAGAGCTCTTTAAGTACCGCTGTCGACCAGAACTACTTAGATAGCAAATATGGGCAAGTGGTCCATCTATCACTCAAACTGCATCCTCTGGCAATAAACCTGGGGCACCAAAACAACATCAGTCACTGGTGGACGAAATCGAAAAGAAGACCGATGTCGTTGGACATGTTGGAGACCCTGTCCACTGTAGGGGGTGATGATCAAAGGATCTGAACATGTTTGACCGGTTTGTGGACAGAAGATTCAGAAGTATTATGTGGAGACGACATTGATCTTGAGACCAAGCAAAGGAAAGTCATGAGTCATGAGGCCCTGAAACTAGATGCTCAGCATGCACCCATGCAGTAGCATGGAAGTCCCTGAGGTCTTCTTCACCCGTGTGTCTGTTTGAAGAATGAGGTATCCAATACAGAACCAACTTCACCCAACTATGGTTGACCACCTTGACCCAAACTGCCAAACTCAAATCGAAATTCCAAAAGTCTATATAGTCTTATCCGCTCCTTTCTCATCGATCCCTCCGAGGTCCAGACTGCGGTGTGAATCCTCATGCCCACCCCCCCGGGCGTTCGGGCGTTCTGGGTGGTGCCATCGCCACTCTTGGCCGCTGCGCTGATTTCCATGGTCTCCGGCATCGCAAGGATCACCTGTGGTGGGCTCTTCCACGGATTTCGGCGGTCGTGCCAGGTGTTGACTTGGTGACGAGCAGCTAGTGTCCACTGACCATCTTCAACCAAAAAAGAACAACTGAGCGACCGGCAAAACTAGGGGTCGTTTGGTGGTAGGTTTAGAGCATGGTATCGTTTTTGGGATTGGTATCGTTTTTTCAATCCATATGCAATTTTTTTGGGGGAGGTATCGTCTAAATGTAAATTGCTCTGGAAGGTGATCTTGCAAATGATGACTAGTAGTCGTCGTGCACTAGTACTAGTACTAGTGCTACTAGTAGTAGTAGTAGTAGTAGTAGTAGTAGTAGTAGTAGTAGTAGTA